CCCACATGTTGAGTATTAGGTTAGGGCCGGAGTCCATTAGGAATGAGCTGCTCAGTGCTCCAGTAGCTCCTGCTCCAATTATCATCACTCGCTTGCTGCTCGCCGCCATTTTGTTTTAATAACGAGCCCCGCCCCAAGTACTTGCAACTAATTAATCACGCCTCTTTTATTGACCACGCCCACTCAGATTCAATGCTTCAGCTAACGTAGAGCAACGTGAAGAGGCGAGGTAAGTTAACCCTAGCTCTTTCTTGCTCTCTCTTTATCCCCTTGAGCCTAGCTGGCTAGAAATGGAGCTAAATGTTGCTATACAAACCTAGCCATAGTCTTTCAATTATTACAAGTTTATGAGTCTCTAATTAATTTAATTATTTTTTATTAATTACTAGACCAGTTATGGCTGAAGGATTGGCGGTGAAAACTATTAAACTTTTGAATAAAAGAACAGAAATATGTGATGTTGAACTGATCAGCTACTCAAATGAACAGATCCCATTTAGCATGTACGTTGTGACATGTTATGTTATCATTATTATTAATATTACTTTAGTGATTTCAATTTGAATATCAAAAAGAGGATTAGCTTTTTAGAAATGAAGAAAAAAATCAGTTCAAAGATATTTCCTTTACTGCCTATGCTGAGTCGCCAATCGAAAGGTATTATTAATTAGAGGGTGTGGCTAATTAATTAATTAATAGTGGTACACAATGGGCAGCTGATAGTGTACTTGGAGTTAAGAGCTAGCGGCATTTCTTCTCAAAACAAATTTAAAAATGTTTTTGATAGTTTGAGGAAAATGAAATGGGTAAGACGCCATTTTAATAGTACAATCTACAGCACTTTTACCTTTCTTTTTCTCTCTGTCTCTCTCTCCCCTCCCTCTCTCTCTCTAGGTTGCTACAGCCACTCCCACTGATAACGTAAAAGTCTTCATTATACCAACTTCATCTCTGACACATGAACTAGGTAACAAACATAGTGATAGATCTAGAGGGAGTTTAGGAGACTTTTGGTTTTC